CGGACGTTTTTTAAACGCTGATTGAGTCTATTGTTATGTTATTGTTCGATCTTGTTTGTTCTTAATCGAGAGCGGCCCATTTTGTTCGTTCAGTTGTCTCAATTGTTTTTATGTATCTAGTGAAAATTTGAAGTTTTCGGTCATTGTTGAAGCATGTTGATATGCTCTTACTCGAAGCTGCCTTGTTTTTGCCTTCTATCCCGAAGTCTTGGATCTCTTGTTGCTTGAGCTTGCCTTATCATTGCCTTTTGTTCTTAAGGTTTGTTGACCAATCTTGGATCTTATTGTTCTAAGCTTTGATTCAAGTGAGTTGTTGCTTGACTCAGTCGCAGGCCTTGATAATTCATGATCCAATTCACTAATCTTTTTTGGCTCTCGTATTTCTCTGTTAGGTCCAACATCCATAGCCCATAGCCTCTCCAAGTTTGTCTTTCATACCTGCATCCTTAACCTTACGTACCCAATGCCTGTCTTTTCTCCCTTAAAGAGCCCATTTTTTAGCAACACAAAAAGAGAGAATGTTTCAAGCGCTTCTTGATCGAAGTGGTGCTTAGTGTCTACTGCTTGGGAAGTCGAAATATTGAAAAGCTTTTTCAATATACTTATTGGATTTGTACATAAGAGAATGCCTGAATGAGGAAGAGAACAGTTCGAGTTTGTGGATTTCCTCATGGCAAATGTGCTAATGAAGTTAAAAAGCTTATCGAGAATATCAAATTAGATTTTCAATCCAAGTTAAATATCACGTTTTAAAGTGGTATTTCTTTAGTCTAAAATGGAAAGGGGAACACATTAGGCTACTGAAGTCCTGTATTGGAAAGAAACAGTAAAGTATCGTTGTATTTATTCAAATTTCCGCACCGTGGGAATATGGCTATTCTTACTAAGAGTATGTTTTTGTCACTTCGAAGATTTTGTTTCTGTACAAGGTGTTGCCCTTTTTCCTTTTTTCTTTTCTTTTTTTTGTTGGCAAGTGTTGTATGCACCAGCTGTCCAAACTCCATCCGGTCTCTGTCAAAGCATATTGAGTTAGAGAAAGAGTGTTAAGGGCGCATTTCATGATTTGAAGCATGGCATGAATTGGCTACTTGTCAATTGCGCAGAAGCACCTAAGTGGATGCTTACATATGTAAAGTAATTTGGATAATTCTACTTCATCTGGAGAGCATGCATACCTTTTTCCCTCACTTTAGAGAATATTGACACTCCACAAATCAGAATGCTCTCACCAGCTAAGATGCGAGATAGACGAGAAAGGGAGTAATGTTATAATAGTGATGAAAATTATAGTCATTAACATCAATGCAAAAAACAAAAGCTATATTTGTTAGACGGTTACATTGTTGACATAACCAGGGGTGAAGATGAATGACAAGGAGAAGATAGAGGAGACCAACCATAAATTGTCAAATGTCTCCAGTTCCACCCTTAAGGGCAAAGCTTGTCTGAGGTTTGTAGACTACAATGAATCCTTTGAGATTAATTCAAGAGGATTGAAATTCAATAAGTAGAGTTTTTCTTGAGTTTTAAAGTTGATTGGAGGTTAAAATCCAATAAATGCGTATGAGAGTTTCAAGTTCATTGGAGGTTGAAATCCAATAAATGTTTTCAATAGAATATTTGCTCTTATACCTTTCTTATTACTAGGAGTTGTTCTTATTACTAGGAGTTGTTACAAAAGTTAACCGGTGGTTTATTGACTTGAGAGTACAAGTGAGATAAAAAAAAGAAAAGATAAAAAAAAGGGCCAAAATGCCATTTTACCAAGGCCTGAGTTTTGTAAAATCTAGCTTTATTGGTTATATGCTATACAAGTGTGTATTGCTACAAGGGGCACAAGCTTGAATTTATGATTCTCTCTTTCCTTTGCCGTTTTCAATAGGATATTTGTTCCTATATTTCTCTTTGTTTCTAGGAGTTGATATCCAATATTGCCTATAGGGGTGGCAATGGATCCGGATTTGACTGGGGACCCGAGCGGTAGTTTCCATTCGGGTCTACGTCTAGGTCTAAATATTGGACTCGACATGACACTATTCGGGCTTGGTATGGATCCGATAATATATTTTGGGTTCCAATATATAAAACATATTTAAATATAATTAAACATATAAATACTTCAATTTGTGGATCGGTTCCGATGAAGTTCGAGTTTGATGAGTCAAGTCAAGCCAGGTTGGGTTGGGGTCGGCCCGAACCGGCATGACCCGACCCGACCGGTTGCCACCTCTATACCTAAGGGGCTATTGGCTTGAGATTACAAGTGAAATTTAAAAAAAGATCAAAATGGAGAAACAAAACACGGATCTGGATGGAATCAAAAAAAGTAAAGGGCCCAAACCTTAGGTTATGCCAAACCCGAAAAATCCCGGGACACAGACGGGCCTTTGCGAAACAGCAGGTTTTTTGTGAGTTGTCTTGAACTCTTTCAAAACCCTATCGCGCTTCATACTTGAAGAAAGTAGCAGAAATGGCGCCAAGACATGGCCGAAAAATCCGACTGTTCTCTTCATTTGGCCGCTCCATTAACAATCGCAATAACTTACAGAGGCTCCGCCAAATTAACCCAAATTCCACTGCCTTTAAATCCAAAGGTGCGGCCACTTTTTGTGTCCTGACGCGTAACAGCAATTCCAGGGTTCTTTTAGCTTGTTGTCCTTTTTTTTTTTCAAGTGTTTAAACTGGTTTCTTGTGCTCGTAGATCTATTTATTGAATTTTTAGTTACTGATGGCTTTTCTTATTCGGGTTTTTAAGTGGTATTTTGTGCCATAAAGATTTCCTCTCGGTTTCTAGGTTTTTCGTTATACAGACTGCCATTTGTTCCTTGATATTACTGGGTTGTTTTTATTACTAGTTATTGTTTGATTATGGTTTTTTGAGTTGATGTCAGTTGTCCCTTGAATTGATTCATTTAGTGCCAAATTCGCATTTAGTCTTTTTTCTCTCTCTTTTTTTTTTTTTGTTAAGGTTGGGGTCGGGGGGGGGGAGGGTTGGGTGGGTGTGTGTGTTGGTCCATGCAATTCTGGGTAGGGTTTCGATTGCTCTGGTTAATGACATAATTTTGTCATTTTTTCAGTGTTTGAGGTAATGATTTTGTTGTTTTTAATCATTGAACACTACTACTGAGATAGATTGGATTTGGAATTTTAGTCACTTATATTCTCTTTATGGTTTCTCCAAACTTCGGCAGCCACATTTTGTAGTCATTCTATCCGTATATATTTTTTATAGTATTTTGTTGTTTATGTTTTTCTAATTTAGGCCTGAATTGGTGTTTGGTTTATTGAGGTTTCTCTGATGACCTACTTTTAGGGTTTTCCCATTATTTTTGAAGGATTGTGTCAATTATATAAGAGATGAAAAGAATTAAAAAGAAGAAAAAAATTCTAAAAAGAGTGCCAGTGTAGTAAGTTAATGCCAAGGCATATTCAACTTCCTGCACCCTTTTATACTGGCTCGTTGGGACCACCACTATAGACCCGACCATCATTTTATCGTTAATTGTTGAGCTGATGTCTTAGTACCGGGTTTTCAGCAATCATTAACAGCTTTACTAATGGATGAATTTCCCTCCCCAAGAGAACACATGGAGCATTGAAAAAAAGTGCAATGGCATATTGCCATTGCTGTTCACTTTTTTTTAAGCATGTATCAGTTTGTGTTATTTTGGTAATGTGCGGATGATATTTTTGTTATTGGACTATTGTTTAACACTAGATATATAGAACTCACTGATTAGAAATTTACGTGTTAAGAAAAACCAGACATTGCAGTTCCCATTTGTGACCAAAATTTTCTCAACCTTTTGGATGATATTCCCATTTGTGACCAAAATATTCTCAACCTTCTGGATGATAAATTGTTCACATCTGATTTAGCTTTTAGAAACTCAGGAATTATGGAGTCCTATAAGAATAATTTTTTGATAATTTTCTTTTAAGTCTAAGAAATTATTGCGATCCTTACATTGTCCTACAATGATTAATTTAGGCATTTCAGGATGGGAAGAATCATGTCACTATGCTTCTTGGATGCTACACATGTGATTTGTGATTGATCTAAGCTATGTCAATCAAATAATTTGTATTTTTGATTTAGATACTTGTGCCCTGGATAGTTTTTTTGCACACATGCCTCCAAGCACTTTATATATGACGCACAACCAGTAGAACAAAAGGAGGAAAAGGATGACGAGGCAACAATTTTTTACTATTATTGTAAATTTTTTTATAAAGAAAAAAATGTACAAAAATAAAGTAAAACAATGAAGCCATTGGCAAGACGACAAGTGCACGGTTCACTTTCCCAACTTTATGAGTTTACTACCTCTATCCACCTAATGCTATTGTGACGATGGCTTGATTGACTTCACCTGGCACATGTTGATAACCCACATCCGCATATCTCCCAAATAACAAATATCGAAAATCTCTTAGAAGACCTTCACTAACTGCGAGGGAATAGTTGCCACCCTTTAAGCCCATCAGATCACATTGAGACAATCCTCTTTTACAGTGAGAGCTGAGGGGGCCCCCAAATAAACTTATCTTGAATCTACCAAAAAGAAAATCAACTTATCTTGAGCGTTGAAAGCAACACTTTAGGCTCCCACTCCCTACCTTGCATTATCTCTAGAACACCCATCAAAATTGAACTTGATCGCCTGATGCAGGCTTTGATGGAAGTAGCCTGAGAGTAGTAAAACCCTCCACTTGAGAAGGTCCATAACTCTAATATTGGCAAACTCTGGTAGTGCCATTACCCACACATCTAGATAACACTGTTGGACAGTCCTCCAATCTTGTGTCATAGCTATTATTCAGAAATTGTTATAGAGGTTCATTTATTTTATGCATCTACTTAGTTTTTTTCTTAAACAAATGAAATAGTTTGAAATTTTGTTTAGTAGCTATGGAGACTCTATTTGGGGCCAAGTTGAACCCGAATGCTTAGCCTTGTGTAGATGTTGTTTGTGGTTGGAGCTTTCTTAGAAAAGATAAGGTATTTGGACATAAAGGATGAAGATCTTCTACATTTTCCTTTTTCTCGATCTTTTTCTTTGTGTCTATGCATGCTTAATTCACACTATTGATTTTGAGATTTTATCTGTCATTTAATGGTATTGTTCTAGATTTGATAAACTGACCCAACTTCTAATATACGATCTTTTATGTTTTTGCATTTTTGTAGGTGGGGCATCTATCGATCAAGCTTCTTTGAGGAGACCAAGTGGGTCTGAATCTACTAGCTCTAGTGATGATGATCAAGAGGAAAATGTGTGTGCTTGTGTGCATGTGCCTACATGCATAAATACATACATACATTCATACATACTACATGGTTCTGTGTATGTGCATGTATTGATACACTTATGTATGACATATGTTTACTTGTTTATGATAGCTACCTACGTTTGAAGCATATTTTCTCCTGAGTTTGTTTTGCTAAATTAGTGGGGAAGTTTATCTAGTAGTTGTCTCACTATTTCTACCAATGCAGTTATTCTCTTTACATCTCTCTGATTCTCTTAGTATCTCTCATGTGAGTTCTCTTTTTCTTTTTCCTTTTCCCTAATTTTTGTGAGTACTCCTTTGCTATTTTTTTCTGATATTGATTAATTTGATGTCAGTGCACTACGAAATGCCCTAAACAATTGAGTATGCTTTTCCTACAACAATTGTCCTGGTGCAACATAACTAGAAGCATTGCTAGTAACACCTTGCTGCATATGTTTCCTTTTAAATATGTAGGAAGGCTGTTTTCATTTGCTCGAATACTTTTTTGGTCAGATTGCTTTGACCTTGAGGGAAGGTGTTATTTATATATGGTTGATGGACTGAGAGCTTTCTATCATTTGTTATTTAAAACATGCACTTTATATGTTCCACAAAAATGAAGGGAAATGTTTTGTTCATCTTTTAAGATTAGTTGTTTTTTCATTTTATGGATTGGGTTTGCCTTTAAAATTTCAATTCACATTCTATTTTGTCTCCGACAGTTATTCGCTTCAAGATAATTAAAATATTGCCTTCTACTTGTGGAATTTCTATTGATCAACTAGTCAAATTATGCAGACTGTTATCAATGTGGATTTGGAATTCTTCGACCCCAAACCAGATGATTTTCATGGACTGAAAATGTTACTAAATAACTACCTTGATGTTAAGGTGTGGGATTTGAGTGGATTTGTAGACTTGATTCTGGGACAGACGACAGTTGGGACAGTAGTTAAGCCGGGTGATGATGGTGCCCCATTTGGTGTCATTTCAGCTATCAATCTAGAGCGTTATAAGGCCTGTTCTCTCTCTCTCTCTCTCCTCCCCCACCCCCCACCCCCCACACGCCCTCATGCACAGACACAGCCTCTATGCTCTCTACAAACATTTTACTTTGTAAATGCTAATGAAACTTCATCTAGCCTTTGTTTAAGCAAACACTTGCATAGGCCCATCTGTACTTCATTACTTAATTGAGAGGATGGAAATTCAAATTATTTATGGCACTATGTATCTGGCTATTAGCATCCATGCTTGTAATGCAGTAGCAATTGCCAACATTTTTTTTGTGATAGTTTGTTGTGTTTATTTATTCAAGCATGTTTTCCCTTATTAAGTTAAGCATTCAATATTGTGAATAAAAAGAAGTTTTTACATAGTTCCTTTGTGTTATCATGATGACTTATTAGCTATTTGAGGTGGATATGGGTGCTTTTTGGAAATGAGAATTTTTCAAGTCCTACCTCAAATTTTGGTGCAAGGAGCTTTTTGGAAAGGCCAGGCTATTAAAATAAAGTGGCGATTTGGAGATATTGATAAAAAGGGGTAATGTGAGTGATAAGGCATGGGAAACAGTTTTTAAACTAGAAAAGATTAGTTAGAGGCAAAGATCTAGTGTGGTATGGTCAGAAGAAGGAGAAACAAATGTCAAATTCTGCCAATGTTTGTCTAATGCTTACAATGAGTGTGACCTGGATGAGGTGTAATTATTTCTTTAATATTTGCAGATAGGGGTTGTGTTCAATGCTTATATAGAGGATTTGATGTTAATCAGCTGGGTTGCTGGAGTGGTTGGTTGGATGAACTCTCTCTTTTGAAGAATAAAGGCAACTGGCTTTAGTTTGGTGTGAGGTGGCTTGTTGAATGTTGACTTTCTTGCTGCATTTGTTTGCAAATTTTGGGATCTCATACCATGTTATTTGAAGTTTTGGGAGTTCAAATATTCTACAGTTACTTATCAAAAGAAAAAATAAAATAAAATGAAATTCTTAATCATGTAAAGGATGTAGCAATTTTCTCATAAAGATCCAAATTTTGCTACATCAATAAAATAGAATGCTGATAGAGGACTACAGTTTTACTTGATGTAGAAATTCCATATTCAGATGCCCAGTAACTGAAATGAATGTAGCTTTGTAAGAATTTCAATAAGCGTAATGTAATGTAAGAATTTCAATAATGAAAACTACCAACCTTTCAAGGATGGAATATATGTATAATATGACATACAACTAACATGAGTATCGAGTTAGTAGTGCTTTCTTTGATGATGCAGATGGTTTTGGATATTTCTTCCATTGCCTTACTGATAATTTGGTTAGATGGGTTCCTGCTGGCTGTTGAATGGAGCTGCAGTTTTGTCTTTTTTCCGTCAATAGTTGCTCTTTGGTTTTCAAGGTTTAATCAGTTTTCTTTTGAAAATCCTTTTGGTAATTAATCATTTGTGGAGTGCTAGGTGCATTGGCATCTGATGTGTAGTATGTTTTGCATGGGTTAGTAACAAACAGTGTGCATGCTGTTTTCTAGTTCACCATGGCAGTGAAGATCAGCCTGCTTCTACAATGGACTACTTCATATAAATTCTTATTCTGGATGGATTATGCTCAAAGACACTTGATATCAGCATTACTTTTCATGTTTGAGTCAGTTCCTATTCTTGATAAGAGTATCTCCTTCTCAGGATCACCGCTGCATTGTGGATCTTAAAAGCTTTCTTCTTGATGTATGCCATGAGAAATCGATAAGCAATCAACTGAAAATCTTATTGGGAGAGCAAGCACAGGGTGTGGGTCTCCTGGTCTCTCAGCGTGTTGTGAATCTTCCTCTCGAGATTTTACCTCCCCTATATGATGCCCTCTTTGACGAAGTTTCATGGGCGACTGAAGACGAGGTTAGCCACCTCTTCTTTGATTGGATTTGCTGTGTCATTCATTATTTTTTTCTTTTGTCTCTCTCTCTCTCTCTCTCTCTCTCTCTCTCTCTCCTCTCTCTCTCTCTCTCTCTAATGAATATTTCACTGCGTTACTGTGGAAGAAATTATCAAATGCATACTTATCCAGTTGCCTTTATTTGTATAGCCCACACAGGAGCAAAGGGATTCTTTCCAGTTTAAATATTATCTAATAATCACAAGAATCTACCAGGTGCATTTCTTTTACTTTTATTTGGTCTTTTGGTGTTTTGTCATTGCCTCGTATGAGCTCAGACACTCAATGTTTGGTGACAACTCTATATCATTTGGTTACTTGATATTCTTATGCCATTCATTTTGTTGTTGTATTCATATTTGTGCTCTTAATTTGTGCGGGCTCCACCTAATTGGGTCTCTTTTCTGATTTCTTGAGTCCCTTTTCTGATTTCTTTAGTGCTTCTCTCATTGTAAAATGTAGATAAGTCATGGTGGAAAACCTAAAGGTAAAGGTGCATTAGGAGAAAATGATGCTGAACCAATATTATATAATCATCTGGAAGATGAGATTTTTAATAAGGTACTGATTCTTGCAGTTCTGCTTATCTTTGGGTGATATTTTAAGGTACTGATTCTGCAGTTCTGCTTATCTTTGGGTGATATTTTTCACTTGTTCTTCTATGATTCAATTCTCTCTCTCCTATAATATTTGCCAGTTGTGCTCGTGGTCCTTTACCTTTCAACTGCATGATCAACAGACGGTTACTCATGAGGTATGTTGGACTTTAAATTCTTGGTTGAAACAGGCTTAATCATGGCTTGTATTTTGGCCAAAATTGCCTGGAACCATTAGCTGGAAACTGAAACTGAAGCTTCTAGCTAATAATATCATTGACTTCTTGAAATGTCTGATAAAGACCCTAGAAAATTGTCATTAGATTTTTTGTCTCGGCCAAAGATGTTGGGAAGTTATCCCAAAATATTAATCATGAGAATACTATATAGATAGTGCATGAAGTAATTGGAAGCAAACCCTCATAAGTGTGTTTCTGAAAATGTGAGCTTCGTTTATGGTCTATTGAAGAAGCTTTTGGTGACAAAGAGTTCTGAATGCCAGTCATGACATCTTTATGTGTTCTCAGACCTTCTTTATCATCTCTCTCTCTATCTCTCTCTCTCTCTCTCTCCTGTACATTGGGTGTTTTTCCCTAGTTGTAAACTATTTTAGGAAGTTCAATTGTTGCATTTTATTGAAATATAATAAGGTGAACTTGTATTTAGAAATTAAATGTGCTAGTTGTGAATTCATTTGTGTGGGGATTTGCAGCTGAGAAATTATAGACAAATGGGTCTGGTTATGGTGGTGAAAGCAGACAAACAAACTGTGGATAAATTCAGAGATGATTTGAAGACCTTCATAAGTGATTCTTAACAGGACATTCTCACCTCTTTTTGGTTTCCGGTCATTATCTCTCATACAGCAAATCCGGATTTTTCCTGTTTTCGGGTCTATTTATTATGAATGTGATTCATAAAAGAAATTTTGGTGTAATTTTAATGAGAACTTGAATTTATTTGTATTTCTGGCTCGTTTACCTCTCTCTTCATGTATGTTACTTTTCTATCATAGATATTCTATGATTCACTTGATGGAGATGTTTTCTGTCCACCAAGTCATGCAAAGGGCTTTTCATGATGGGCAAGCATTTGCAGGCTTTGTTGGTTTTACATGGTCATGGCCTTGATCTACAGATTTTTCAAACCAACTTAAACGGAGTTCAGGATTTGGGTTTCAAACGATGACGATTTTGGCTTATTCTGTGCTGGTGGTCAACACATGATTGTGTGATTGATCTCTCTGTTTATCAGTTGGGTTATCTTTTGGCTAAAAGTCATTGGGAATTGTTAGAAAGACCAGAATGGCCCTAGCAGCCTCCAGCTACGGTTATGCGGAGGCATACATGAGGTTTTGTATTAAATAAATTGTTATTATATTTATATGGGTTTTTTAGAGTTAACAACCCCTCAAAATACAAAGGGGTTGTGATGGGTGTATCTATCAAAACAATGCGTTTTTTTTTTATTAAAAATTATTTAAATATGTAATTTTATCATTAAACAATGACAAATTTAAAATTTTTACAAAAATATAATAGTATTTTGGAAGTTAGCGTTTTGAAATTTTATTTGTAGAATGTCTTTATTTTTTAATTAAAATTTTAATTTTATTTTTTAAGGAGATGACAAAAGTACCTTTTGTCGTATAGTAATATTATAAAATTATTTCACAAAAGTAACTTTTTTTAAAAAATAGACTATAAAATTAATAAATCCATCATTCACAACTCTTTCTATCTTGAACCATTGTAATTTGAAGGGTTGTAAAGTTTAGATTATCCCTATATATATA